ATATAAGTTTTATAAAAGTCTTTTGGTGATTTTCACCCTCTACTAGCAATCAGAGGGAACTCTCACTAGACCTCATGATCTAATCCTCGTTTGTATTTTAAAAYGTGTATTACAGGTCGGACACAACCAGAGGAAAAGGGGAAGGAAAAATTATAGAGGGTAGGGAAAATTATAGACGGTTTCATGATTGCTTGCATGTGGATTTTGGGATGATTTGATGCTATCTGTACTTGAAAACTTGTTATAAATTCAAGTCTTGTACTGAGATTGTATGGAAAAATTTGGTAGCTAATTTTGTAGTGTAGCCTTTTGTATATATATATATGGGACTAAATATGTAAATTTGTATTCATGATATATGAAATATATGGTTATATGTAAATGTGATTTTGGGGTGTTACAACTTCCTCCTTGGCATCACTATTTGATCCTTCCCATTCATCGATCATATCTCCTTCAACACCTCGTACAATCTGCATAAAATATACCAAAAGCATAAAAAAATATTCCAAAAACCAATCCAACGGTTATTAAAGATAGAAATTGAAAAAAACAATAAAAGACGCATGAAAGGATTAAAATAAAAACGAATATTGAAAAAAAACGCAACTAAAATATACATAAGTTAGGTGTTAACAACTAAATATTTATTATTGATTATGATGAATTTTGATGAACTTTCAATTTTAAATTGATGGTATGAGTCTTTTCTGAAAAGAAAAACCACCAACACCATCATTGAAATTGAAGAATAGATTTTAAAAACATATATAAAGAATCAAAACAAAGACTATTATTTTTGCCTGTTTGTTTGGATCAATTGAGAGATCCTTGAGAAATATTTGTGAATTAGGGTTTTCTTTATTTGGTTTTAGATTTAATTTTTGAATGTGAAAAACAGAAAGATGAAAAGAAGAACTACGGATGAAGATGAAGGAGACATACATGACRAAGACCGTAAAATACTTAAATATCTTTAAGAAGAGATGTATACATGGACCGAATAAGATCAACCTTTTGGTTTTTATTTGGACAGAATCATTATATATGATGTTGATTTTGTACAAAAAAAGTTTTGTAATAATTACATTTAGAAATTTTAAAAACGTCTGATTTACTTTAAATTGATTTAATTGCATTTTACTGTAAAACGTCTGATTTACTTTAAAAAAAACTCATATCCAAATGCAGCAAAACGTTTATGTTATTTTTGCTTTTATAAACATACACAATTACTCTCATTTATTTGAAATAACTGTTCTCTTTTATTTAGAAATGAAAAACCATATCAAAATATATGATATTCATGTTTCTTTGATGTTCTATGTCGGTACACGTCGAAAAGCATTTTTTAGTGACGTACTTTTTTGACTGTTTTTAAAGTGTATTAGGTAATTTAGACATGATATGACGGAAAATAACTGAACACGACAACTGTTTTGACATCTAATAAAACATGACTGATAAAATGATCAATTTATCTTTAATGAGTTGTTTATATCTTTTTCTATATTTTGATTGATTTATTGAATTTATCAAATTATAATAAAATAAATATTTTTTTTATACAAAATACATCATTAGAAAAATTTAATCAAAATGATTAAAATGACACAAAAATATGAAATTTGTGAATTTTCAATTTTTATTTTATACAATTTCTATAWTATATTTTTATTGTTAATATTTAATAGATTATATTAATTAATCGAAGTATAAAATAATAATTTAAGGATAGTAAAGTTAAAATTTAAAAATTATAAAAGAAAATAAAATAAAATTTAAAAGACGCATAAAATGTAAAGAGGGAATAACATTTGATATATTAGAAGAAAATTAAGTTTTATTTTGAAAGTATATTAATAAAATATAAGCTTGTTCAACCTTATTCGATCCATGAGATAAGGGTGAAACATGTATGTTCCACTATGTTACTGTGTTTTCCACATAAAAATCATATTGTATATAAAAATAAAATAATATTTTGTTTTATTTAATATGTCAAAAACACCCTTAAAACCTTTTCTCCACAAATAATCGAATACAACCATCTTTCTTTAAGACGTATTTATTCCTCTTTGTCTCATTATATATATATATATATATATATATATATATATATATATATATATATATATATATACCTTCCTACTAAGCTTTACTTATTTGGAAATCAGTATCATCAGCGGATTGTGATGGAGGATTTGGATAAGAATCCCTTCTATAGCTGCAACCGTTGCCGGAATCCGATTGCACTTCGCGACAACCTTCTTTCTAAAGCTTTCAAGGTAACACACATATCATATTTATAATACGTTATGTCATCGGACCACCATAATTCCTAAATTAACTCCACCAAATCCGATTCCATTTCTTGTTTATTAGTTTCGAATGAAACGATCATATCTAAAACAAATTGACCTCTTGAAAATCAACAAATACTATACATCGATTCTTTACTTCTGATGGGATCTGATTCGATTTGAAGCAAACACCATGAAATCTGTGTATTTTTGGTAGGCACAATCGGGGCAAGCTTATATGTTTTCTGATGCCAAGAACTTTGTGTTGGGGGAAAATAAAGTGCGGCAGTTAATGACAGGGCGGTTCGTGGTGGCTGACGTCTACTGCAGTAACTGTGGGGAGGTTTTGGGGTGGAAGTACTTGAAATCCTTCCATGTTTCACAGAATTATAAAGTTGGAAATTTCATCATCGAGAAAGCCAAGGTTCTCAAGGAATATGCTTGATCTCCTTTATGCAATAATTGCGTGATTCACAATGTATGATATTTTTTATTTGGTTTAGAAAATAATGTCTTGTTATATACCCATAAATATAAGTCTTTCTACTAATTTTCTTCTCACATGCATTAATATCAAGAAATCACTTTTAGAAATCACTTTTTGTATTTTATGATGCATGATTTGACCTGATTGTGACGTTAAAGATGAGACATATATATAATATGACCCGAAAAATATAATATTGTAACAAGACAATACATATCTATAAATTCTCATTAATCAAAAGCCCTTTAAATAGCGATGAATTTAAAATGAAACGGAAACGTTCATTATGGTAAATTCTAATATTTGTAAACTATTATTTCAATCACTTTCGTTCTGACAAAGACACATGATCTTTCAACACTTCGCCCTGTATCGAGTCAAAAGGGTGATGGTGCATAATTCTTGTCTTATTAAAACCTTATGTCAAAGAAACAAAACCCAATGTGAATAAAACTTTAGACGAATGAAAGAGTAAAAGGCACCGGTAAGCAATTCCCCATAGTTTACTATCCTTATTTATTCGTACATCAATCAAGAAGTTTAGAAAAGAAGATGATGTATAAACTGTCACCTCACTAAAAACTTGTACCAAGGAACAAAACCCAATGTTTTAGACGAAGGAAAGAGCACAACCCATCAATGGTACATGTTCAATAGACACTTTCTTTTGTCCATTACTCCCCCTGATTCTACAGAAATCAAGGGAGTTTAGAAAGTTTTTGCATTTCGATGTTTTCGACATGTTTCTCAAATGTAACCTTAGGCAGTGATTTGTTAAACAAATTTGTCACATTCTCCTCAAACCTTATTTGATTCTACTTGAATCTTGAAGAGAGTTTGTCATTGGTGACTATGAAAAGCTTTAACGGAATATAATTTGTATTATCTGTAACACCCCATACAACACATTACATGTAACACATACTTCATACGGAAGAAATACATTTTTATATACCATTCAGGTCTCTTAGTACAAGAATTTACCATACAGAATACATGTCTTAAAAATTCAAAATACGTTTATTGTATTAATCAACGTTCATCAATCAAAACTATACATCATAGACAAATCTTTATGTAGAAATGCATATAGGAAAATATCACATTTTCCATTTTCCCTTACCGTCCATACCTCCTGCAATATATATTTAAAATCACAAAACGAGGGTTAGACCGAAAGGTCTAGTGAGTTACCCTATTCATGTTATTGCAGATAATCACCAAAACCTTGTACAAAATAACTTTTTCATATATATATATATATATATATAATTATATGAACAAATAAGAACATATTACCAGCACCTTTCCACTTTTCAAGCCAAACATTCAGCTATTCAGATAACATATTTCAAACCTATATAAGTTTGAACTAACCAGGTTTCATATAATGTCACTTTTAAACCTTTTTCATTCAACAAAGTTTATTTAAAGTTCTAKGCCAAACCTGTTATTTTCTCCTCTATAACCTCCAGACTATGATTTCCAAATAAAACCCTGATCCTAAATCTTTAAATCACAAATAAATAAAGATTTCAGACCATGGTAATTTTAAAGGATATAATAGTAAGAGTTATATAACATAACACACATACATATGCCACCTTATATCCAAAGATACACCTCTCCTTGATATGTCACCCTTATCCCATGGTACACTTCTCCTTGATATGCCACCCTTATCCCATGGTACACCTCTCCTTGATATGCCACCCTTATTTCCTCATTTAAAATATTTTACCAAAACAATTCCAATTAG